ATTTCGCCTTTCCTGGTTGTATTTTGCAGGCTCTGTTCAAGTTCGTCGCGCGTGTCAGCAACCTTGAGCGTGTCCTTCTTGGACAACAAGTTGTGGTTACGTTTCCGGCCAACTCGACAAACATGATGTCGTGGCCCAAAGTGGCGCAAAGCTGCCATGGTTTCGCAGAGGTGGCGAAGAAGTGCAGAGCAACATCGCAAATCCTGGCCACACGTAAAGACTAAGACATGTATTTCCGAAGTGCTCTGCAAAGAGACAAAAAGTATACGCGTCGCCCAGCCCACATCCCCCCACTCCAACACTGCAAGCCCAAAACACCAGAAACCTCATAACACTCCAACCCCTAAGATCCAACCTCTAACACCCTGAGCTGGGTTGCCAGCATCGTGTCATCATAAGCGAATGCTTCTGTTGTGGATAGTCATAGTCGTCTTCACCCTCAGGCAAGCGCTGCGGTTTTGTTGCCACTTCTTCTTGATTGATCATGTGATGGGTAAGCAATCATAACCGCGACTGCAACAGCCACGATGATTAAAACTGGCGTACTGATTAATTATTTCGGCAAGACTAAAAACTGCGATGGCGGCTAAATCGTTTTACAACAATCAATGAATCATGGAGTACTCTTCTGATGATTTTGGCTTTCTGTTGAAAACTATACTCGTCAAGCAAAGGAAAAAACCGATTGACACTGCCCAGGCCTGACTAGGTGTGCTTGCATCTTGTCAGCAGGGTCGGCGGTTACTTTCAGGCATTAATACATACTGAGAAGCAATGCTTTGTGCTCGATTTACAAATAAATCCGCATAGGCCTCGGGCCGTAGGTGTCTGGGGAGCAACACGACGGTACCCCGGTGCATCAGGACCAGGGGATTCTTTCCCCCTCCCCCCCCCCCCCCCTCCGCCCCCCGCTGTTTGGGCGCGGTTGCATTTCCTTCTGCGTCCACGTTGTTTGGTACTTGTTTTTGGAATGGGGAAACAAGCCCCCCCAGCCTCCCCGGCGCTACCCTGCATGTTTGGGTTTTGGGGCCGATGCGCTGCCTTCTGCGTCCGCTCGAATGGACTGCAAAGCTCTGGACTCCATTTTCTCAAGCAGAACTTGTCGCATCTCTGTGCAGGGACTTGTTCCCCAAGCCCTGAAGCCTAAAAGCACCTTCGCACCCACGCTGTCCGGTTTGGGGTTGCCTCGCCTCTGGCCCCGGCCGAGGTGGGTGGCGTATTGTTCAAATTGTAGTACATATGTAATATACACATATAAAACTAAAATCGGTACTTGGCGTTCGAAAACAATCATTTGCACATGCGAAGTGTAGAACCTCTGTATGTCCCCTTCTGCACTGAAGATTGGCCCGGCTTTGCGGGAGAACCCTGAGACAGGGCACGTTCCCGACTCCGATGCCCTAAACCTTTTACGATCCTTTAAACGACGCGCGGTGTCTCGATGGGCAGGGGGGCGGGGGGGCCTTTGTCCGCATAATAAGAAGCACTACATGCCCAAAGTCCCAAAACCTGCACACTGAGCTGTAAGCCTCAGGGAGAAGCTCCAGCTTGTTCTCTTTCATAGCCAGTGGAAGCCTTGGCGCCACTCTGCTCTCTTGTGGCGCTCGAATAAGACGGGGCATCACCGTCAAACTTGAACTTCTGGCTGTTGTTGGCCCCTACCGGTAATTTCCCGAAGCCTGCCGGAAGGGCATTGACAGGTCAAACCCAAGGATGTCGTGACGACATGGCAGCTCAGGGAAGCCCTTGTTGAAAGCTCCGCCTTCCACTCTGCGTTGACGGGTGAAACTACAAATGGCGACCTGGCACTGTGCCGGGCTGCGAGCCGTCTTTCTCAGGAGCATCTGTGGGACATGGTCGTAGCTACATCGGAACTACAGCAGCGACCCAAACCTGCACGGCACGCGGCCGAACCTGCAACGATTGGTCCGGAACATACCGGTCTACGCTTAGCCGTTTGGTGTTCAAGGTACCAGTGAGGTCGCTCGTTTAAAATCTTTGCATAGCCTTATGCACGAATGACAGCGAACCAACCCTCTCCCTCTGTAGCCAGGGCCAAGTCGCTCGTTGTGAATTGTGCAAGTGATGTCGAGTTTCATCAAAGAACAGGAATCATGGGGTCGCATCATGATTTGCTGCATTAATAAAGTTTAGGAGGTTCTCAGACTCATCCTCTCGTGCTCACTATAGCCATTAACCCAAGGCAGCCCTTCTATGGATCCTGGGAAGGCAGGAGCATGATATCGGCAAAGGGCATGGGTGCTTTGAACCGGCTGGCTCGGTGCCTTCCCAGTCTTCCACAGACTCACTTCAGACCCGGCTTCATTATGGCTGTGTTGGCGGACAAGACGGCGCCCTTGTCCACAAGGGATCGCATCACCTGCGGAGACTGGGAGTGAGACTGCTTGGGGGGGGCGGGGGGGCCGTAGCAGTCCTTTGACATCTAACAGGGTGCCTGGAACGCTGCCTCTTGCTGCTCCACGAAGTGTCTGGTGACTTCTTGGGGCGAGCCTGAGTCCGGCTTTGGGGGGGGCGGGTCTTTTGGGGTCCGCAAGGCCTGCAAGGGATTACTATCTTTTGCAGTTGCCCCACGGTCCCGCAAACCCGGCTTTGGCTTCGAAAGCTGCGAGTACCCGGTGTTGTGCAAGCCAGGATACCGGAGTGTTCCAAGGCTGACTCAATGGCTGCCGCATGCTCCAACACCTCGCGGAGATTGAATGAGCGGCGAAACTGGGTCGCACTCAACCGAACTCTGGACTTCTAACTGTCTAACCGTCCTTAGACCCAGAAGCATCGAAGTCGCCAATACCGATAAAAGCGCTAAGCCGCTAAGCCCTTTCAACCCTCAAGACTTCTGCACCTCCGTTTTCTGAGCCTCCCGGCGAAGACATCCAGAATGGTCTGCCCCTGGCGGTTGATCGGCCCATTGACGCCTGCGCCCGCCGCCAGGCATTGTTTGACCGTGCCGGCCTCGGGTCATTGTGATTGACCTCTCCTTGATTGCACGATTTTGTGGTGCAGTGCTCCGATGTGCACGGCAAGATGTCAACGAAAGCTACCATAAGCTATTCAAATCTAACCAGCATCCCGAATGATTCCTGGAGGGTCCATCCCAGGTATCCTGTTTAGAGGGCCCTACCTAAGGACGATCCTTGGAAAGCCCACCACAAATCCAAGGAGTACCAACCAACACGCAGTCACAGAGTGTACTCTCGGGGGTGGGCTTTCCAGTAAGCAAATTGTTCAAGATTCTGACTCTCGGTGGCATCTGCCAAGTTCATGTTGCCATGCTTCAGGGCTGGGACTGCGCGATGCACGCCCAGACTCTGTGTTAGCTTTGGGGCCGGGACGCCTGGCAGTTGCTTTGGCTTGGTGCTCTGCGATTGCTGTTGCACATCTGCAAAGCGGGTGCAGCTGAGGCACTTCCATCTTTCTCACGGCCTCCCCAGCTGGAGAGCGGCTCTCGGGTGTTTGACGGTCAGAATTATCGGTACCTAGACAGCCTACAGCCGGCTACAGCCGGTGGTCATTTGTCAACTCAGGTGCCCCTCCCGAAAGCTTGCACGCCTCCGTCAGGCGCTCGCTGGTGTGGAGCGGATGGGTCGTGTTGACGAACCACGACATGGCTCAGAAGACCTGCAGTTCCGGAATATGGGCTTTGTGTAGGCACAAACTTGGCCGACTTCAGGTGAGGGTTCGGTTTTCGACATCTTAGCACACCTCTTCATCTACCCTGACAAGATTCCCTGAAGGTCGTTGATGACGGTCCTGCGTTAATCTAAGGCTTCTTGTATGTATTGGACTTGGAGTCTCGAAGTGGTTGCAAAGCTCCGAAGGTTTGTCGAGGCGGTGAGGTGCAAATGTGCACTAGCAGCTTTAGGTGGAATGAAGGCACGGTTGCCCCTGTGCCCTGCATCACCAAAACAGAATGCGAACATTGACAAGCAAAACGGAATACGATGGAGTCTTGAGGCCAACGCAAGAGCAAGGGCTCTGGTTGCCGTGGGGCCGCGTTGTGGTCGCGTGGCTCTACCCCTGATATGAATCTGTGCAAGTTTCCGCACAGATCCAGTTCTGCTTTGAGCAGGATGCTGCGAGGAGCGGCATGCTCTACCCTTCTCTCCCTGCACATGGAGCGCTCCAGAACTCGTTCAGGACATCTTGTAACAACTGTAACACAGCTCTGAGGTCGGGTACCGCATCTTGACGATCGATTCCGCTGTGTGAGTGGTTCCTGGCGCCTGGGACTGGGATCTGGGCAATATTCGCACATGTGCAGCATACGGACATGTATGCCCAAGCTTTGCAGTTGAGCCATCGGCCAGCCCCATTCCAAAGCGGCGACCAGCTCCAAGCTACGATCCGACGTACCCCTCAGATCCAGATGACTTAAGTACGGTGTTGCAGGCCTGGGGCATTCACATGCAAGACTCTCTGGCAATGCCACAATGTTCCATGGAATGCAGATTCACGAACTACACTTGAACCAGGAAGCACTGCGCGCGAGCAGTAACGACACAAGCGTGAAACGGCCCCCCGAGAATCAATACATGTTACCTAGTAGAGTCTCCTATAGAACCCCATCAATTCGGGTACCGCAACTTGTAAGCCCCAAATGAAGGTTGATTTAAGGATCCCTTTCGGCAACCCTCCAAGCACCTGTTTCACATGTTACCTAGTAGAGTTTCCTATAGAAACCCATCAATTCGGGTACCGCAACTTGTAAACCTTATACGCCCCAAATGAAGGTTGATTTAAGGATGCCCTTTTGGTACCGCAAGTGACAAGGTAAGTGCTTGATTCCCCTCCCACACCCCAAACTCCAAACCCTAAACCCTCAATCTCAAACCCTAATTCCTGAACCACAAACCCTAAACCCAAGTCCTAGAAACCTGCCTAAACCCTAAACCCTAAACCCGAAACCCTAAACCCTAAACCCTAAAGCCTAAACCCTAAACCCTAAACCCAAAAAGAAAAAGCAACCACACGCCCAGGAGGACGTCGGCGCGCTGCGCCATCTCCAGGGCTATGGGAACCCGGGCTGGCTTCTTGCGCCAGCTGGGGCACCTAGGGGGGGGTTTAGGGTTTAGGGTTCAGGGTTTAGGGTGTAGGGTTCCTTGCAAAATTTCACCGTCATGGGTGACTTGTGCTTTTGTTTGTTTGAGGGTCGGGGCTTTATTTGTGACGGTTTAGGACCTAAGGTGTTTTGATGGGTCTTTTGATGTTTCTGAACCCCCAAGACTTGGACACCAAAACGCCCAAGCACCCGGACTTGAAAACCAACAGCTTACGCCCCAAACGCTACGACGCTCTAATGCCCCCAAACCCCTCGCTGAGGCTCCTGAGAGCGCAACAGTGGGATCGGCGACAACTCTAGCAGTGCACCGACCTCCGCCATAGTTCAGGATCTTGAAGGTTTCGGGCTTTGGGTTTAGGGTGTAGGGTTTAAGGTTCAGGGTTTCGGGCTTAGGGTTTCGGGCTTCGGGCTTAGGGTTTAGGTGTAGGGCTGACGGGGTTTTGGTGTTTCGGGCTCAGAGGTTGCTAGGAGTTTCGGGGTTTTAGAATAACACTGCTCTCGGAGGCAAAGGGCGCTCTGTGGCGCAATGCTGGGTGAAGTTGGACACGCTTGCCTGGTTTCGGCCCTGACTTGCAACCTGCAATCTAGGTCCTTTAAATTTTATTTGCTGAAGAAACCCCCGCAAAAAAAGGAAAACAAGAAATCCCTAAATTGCCCTTCTAAGGAAGAATGTTCTTGCTCCTTTTTCTTTTTTGGGCGGGGGTCTTCAGCAAGTGGAAGAACCGTAAACTCGAAAACTTAAACCCTAAACTCTAAATCCTGCAGCAATACGTTGGGCTCAAGTTTACGGTGAAGGCTTGGGAGCTGCATCCATTTGAGGACCCAGATCATAGACTGCACCTCCCTGAGCCTGACATCCTAAAGCCATCCATGCCTAGGGTTTAGGGTTTAGGGTTTAGGGTTTAGGGTTTAGGGTTTAGGGTTTAGGGTTTAGGGTTTAGGGTTTGGGGTTTGGGGTTTGGGGTTTAGGGTTTGGGGTTTAAGGCGACATGAATTTGGCACCTGGACAAGCGCCACGACGAAGGCAGGGCACCTTGAGCGACCTTGGCCCGAAAGCAGCGGGTTCATGATGGGTACAGAGCCACAATCTAACTTAGTAGCACGCCCTTTCTAGAGTGAACCACCCTCACCCCCCCCCCCCCCCCACACACACACACACACACACACCCACACACACGCACAAACGAGAGAACATATTCCACTCTCTCCCAACAAGCAAACCCAATTGACAACAAATCTCAACTGGATCCTTCTCAAAGCCTCAAAACAGGAAACGCAGGCACCCAAACCACATGTCCAGAAAACCCTCCAAGAATAAGACAGAGAGAGAGAGAGAGAGAGATAGAGCGAGAACAAAAAGAGAGAAAGAAAGAAAGAAAAGAACAAAATAAAGAAAGGAAGGAAAGAAAGAAATACAGAAAGAGAGAGAGAGAGAGAGAACGACACAGAGAGAGCGAGAGAGGGGGGAGAGACAAAGGGACACCCTTTGAAGTTTTCAAAAGTCTTTGGACGTCTGGAAGTCTTCAACGCAAAGCCATGAACACCCACTCTCAAGGGTCTCAAAACCCAGGACTCGGGTTCCGACGCGTTTTCTCTGTTCGCAGGGAGAGGTAACTCAGTCGTGCAGCGGAGCTTGCACAAAGTATCGTAAGTTGGGCAGGTGGAGAGTTTGAAGTACTTTTGTCCCAGCTTTGGGTTTAGGATCCTTGGGGTTCAGGGGGTAGCTTTGCCAGGCTTCATGGTGAAGGTGAACAAACCCGCTCGTAGCCAGGAGCCCCAGCTGAATGCTGTGGGCTCTTCGTCTGCTGTGTGCTTGACATCCATAATTGAACAAGCCCAGTGCAAGGCAGGACGCCGAACCGAAACCCATGGGGGTTGTTCTACATGAAGGGAAGCCCTTTTTCACAAGGGATTTGGTGACCCAAAATTCCGGGCTTAAAAACAAACCCACCCGGGCAACAGTCGGAACCCTCTTGGAGTCTTTGTCAGCAAGTCTGGGAGGGCTGGGAAGCTTCCTCCCCAAAAGGAGGCGCCCTTGCCCGCGTTGACCCCTAAAGGTTTAGGGTTTAGGGTTTAGGGCCTAGGGGCCTTAAACACCCGCTAAAGGAGCAAAGTCTCGCAAAAAGCATGAGGCCCCTGGCCAACACAGGGTCGAGACGAGGATGCCGGTAGCGGACAGGAGAAACACGATCTCCAAGCGCTGTCCATCTGCAAAAGGGCTGTACAAGTTTGGGTAGAACAAGGTTTTGGGGATGTTTGCGCTCCACCGGAACATGTGACAGGAGGCAGCATTCGCCAGTTTCGCGCATAAGTGACCTCGCTTTTTGGCAACATGACGCAGTGCACACTCTCCATCTGGCGCCTTCCGCATCATTATCCCATGCACTTTTCAACTGGAGGTAGACCGCGACCCTCGGTAGAGCAGATAGCTCTGGATCTATGAGAAGCTATTGGTGGCCTCGGGGCATTGTTTTCTTGCTAGGTCGGTAGGCACGCGAGTGCCACATCCCAGCACTGGGAGATGAGCATACTCCTCCAGACTCGTATACCCTTCGCTGAAAGCACCAAGAAAACCCTCAGCCACTCTTAGTAGGCGCTTAGGAACCCACAAGCTCAGCCAGGCCCTCCTAGGGTGCCGCACCAGTTAGCTGCTCTGGAGGCCGTCAAGATGAAGGCCTCTTTGGGGTTCAGAAGTATCTGTTGCCCAATGCCAAAGCTCCGAGCCGTCACAGCCTAAAAGTCCAGAATTGCGCCCCCCAACAACACCAAAGTTCCTCCCACCTTCTCCCCCACCTTGCCGAGAGACCCGTGCGCCCAACCCTAGTTACCCCCAGCTGGGAACCAGGATGGGCTATTAGGCCCTATACTCCCCATAATCAACCCTATCAAGGGCATTTTTAAGGGGGCAATGGGTATAGTGGCCCAAAGCTGGGAACCTCCAAGCCTGCCTTGAAGAACAGGCCAGCTGAGAGGCGACTCCCATTCTCACTCATGGAAGGTCTTAAAAGTCAGGCAAAAAGGACCGCCTCCATTGCGTTGCGTTGGGGTTTAGGCTTGAGAGGGGCTAGGGCTGTAGGGTATACATGGGGGCGTAGTTCGAAGTCTTGGAGAGGCATGTAAGGAGGGCTTGCATGGGCCTCTCCGTTTGAGGCTTTGATGGTTTATGGGCTTCTTGAGCCTTGCAGCCTCAGCCAAACCCAAGCTCCTGAACAGGGCTTCGCTTTTTGGGGTCTGGGTGTGAAGGGGCTGATGAAGGTGAAAACCTTTTTTCAATGGCCAGCAGCTTGCGAATCTCTATCACGGAGCAGGGTGTCGTATGCCTGGCTGTCTGTTTATTCTACATGGGTTGCCACTGGTGCAACTCAGCTTGGCGCTTCCGTCGGGCTCTCACTACAGCTGCCCCACTGTCTCAGTGTAGGAATTCTCTTCGCGTTTGCACTGCTACCTCACGAAATGTCCTCTATGTGTGATCCAGCAAGCAAGTCCTTGTCATGAAGCAGGTGCCTCAAGGAGCAAAAGGCCCCTAAACCCTCAGCACCTTAGCGTCCCCGAGCCCTGGCAGTGCTCGACTCTTTTCTTTCTGCTGGCCTGCCGAGCTCCTGTACCCCTTCTATGCAACTCTCACCTCGCAGGCTGCAGATTCCCAATACTGCACAGTGTGCTGCAGCTCCTAGGAGCTCGACTGATCTGAAGACTCAAATAGGTTACATCTTGAACTTCTGGAGCAGCTACGGTACTACGGCAAGCCTTGTTTGCTGCCAAGTCCTGAAGCCCTCCTACGGTAGCTGGTGCCACACATCCCAACACGCCCTCCGCGAAACTGCTCGAAATTGCTAAAGCCTCAGACCCGGTTCTCTACAAGTTGTAAATCGCAACAACAACTTCCGCGCCGCGCGCCTGTGGGTACCTCTCGGTTGTTGAAGTCTTCTCGCGGGGTATCTTTATCACAAACAGGCATTTTGGTGCTTCCAGTTTGCCGGGACTTGAGGAGGAGCTTGGGCTTGGGGGTTGCACGATGTTGCGTGCAGACCTCAAGACGTACCCACAATGCTGCCGCCGCCCACTCTGCAAGTGGAAGGGCGACACCCCCCAAGAGAATAGGGATGGCTTGCATTGTGTATGCCAGCTGCTAGAGCTTTCACAAGCTAAGCCTCCTAAGCAGACAGACCCCAACCAACACTGTTCTAGGAAGTGCATGAACGCAAGTGCACAAACCTACTGTGAAAGTAGTACAAAAAAACATAAGGGCCTAAGGAAGAACAGTTTTGGAGTGCCGGCCCTTTATGAGTCATGTCAACAGGGATGAAAGCTTCCAAAGTTCAAATGTTCTACGCTTTCGGCCGTCAGATTGCTTTTCGATCATGCATTCCTGTACTTGTGGTTGACTGCCGCGCAACAGTCAAACTACGTTGTGCTGCAACTTGGAGCTTCGCTGTGCAATTGCCCATTTCTGTAGCGGCCACTACGGTACGTGCAACACATGAGAAACCGACAACGTCATACAACGCCGCTTGAGTTGCAACGATACCATAGCGCAAAACATCCCCACTCGCACTTGACTGGAAAGGCTGCCGGGCAGCCTCTGTCTGGGCCTGCGGCACTTTAAATCATTCGCCGGCCTTCGGACAGGTCCTTTCCTTTCCCCAGTGTCTACCTTTGAGACATCGGGCTCACTTGGCTTTTGAGGCCTCTTTTCGAGTTTTACCTGGCGTCGATAGACCAAGTGACCGAACTTCGGGCTCCCTTTCTTCTTTTTCCAGACTCCGGCGACGAAGCCAGAAGTTGCGACGCAGCGCCGCACACTGGGTGACTCCCAACCTCTAATTTTAAAAGCCTCCAAAGTCTGAAGCTCTAAGACGTCCAAACCCAAACCGCCTGAAACCCCCGAAGGCCTCCCCCCCCAAAATAAATCCTGAATCCTGAACCAGGGATGCCCGGCCCTCGAAGAGCCGGACCAAGAAGCATGAGACGCCCTGAGCGCAGGCAACTTGTGAAGTCTAGCGGCAATGGGGCAGTTCTCCAAGGGATGTCCCCTTTCTGCACCCGTTTAGTGACACTAGTTTGGGCGCTTGCTTCAACTCAGAAGTGGTGTAAGGGGCGGGTGAAGAGTTTCAGAACCGAAGTATTAAACGATGGGGTGAGAATACTGTCCGCCCCAACTTCCCCAGTGTTTTAGTAGGGTCGGGGCGTGGAGCGGGGGGAGGGTGCTCCTTCGGTTCTTGGCTTCTGGAAGCTCCGGACTCTTTGGGGCGCCTTAAAAGGACTTGCAGTGGTTTCCGGCCTGAACAACGATGAAGAGCGGCAGCCTCTGCAAGGACGTGGGGCAGAGCCTCAGGTCCCAAAGCGTTGGGCGCATCGGGCTCCAAACCGCTCCCAGGGTGCCATTTGTGGCGGAACGCCTGCCGTGGAAACCTTTGAGCAGTTGACGTCTCCTTAAAGCAGGGACCCGCAATCCTTACTTGCCGACATTCTAATCCTCCCTTCAGTCTGCCTCGCAACATGGTGGCTCGTGACATGGGCGCAAGCGACTTTGTTTACAATGCTTTGTGGAACCGAGCACCGGGCTGCAGCGCTTTAGGCTCTGCTTTGGTGGCCTTTCGCGCTGGTACGCGAATGACACGAATGCGAGAGACTGATCCGTGCCACTCCGGTGAGAAATGCAACCTTCAGCCCGGGACGAAGTCACACACAAACATCAGAAGCAGGTGTCCGCAATGTCAGTGATGCAGAAGCAAGAAACCCAGTGCCAGCAGCGGCCACTTCGCAAAGCCACAGATGCAATGTCCTTCGGCCCTCAAGCAAGCAGGCGTTGCAGTCAGCACGAAGAGCGGGAAAAAGAGGGCGAACACTCCGGCATCGATGAAGCGGGGGCCTGGGAAGCACTCTGTCAAAACCAGTTCACAACCAGCAAGCCCGGGGTGCCATACTCGGATCTCGTTTGGGTTCAGAGCTATGTAGTTAATTAGGGCTCATGCTTCCGCTATATACTCCTGTTCCTGCTAGCCTAGAAGCCTGAGCAGCTTCAGCATGTGTTGCAGCCTTGCACGCTGGATCATCACGAGCAACGAGGAGGAGGAGAAGGAGCCCCACCACTGCCATCACCACCACGGATGTTAACGCTGCTGTTGCGACTGGATGTCGTGGAGAGTGGAGAGCACTGCAGGCTGTAACTGTTTCTTTGTGTTGAGTGCATAGTGATGGAACTTACTCGACTTGCAAAAGGACGGTGTGACGGACTCAACGCCGATAGAGGGGGCAGAGCTTTTCGACTCTCTTCTAGCGCCTCGAGCTGCGCGATGTCATCCCCTTAGTTAGCCCTGTTTTGGCCCGGAGTTTCGAGGGTGGCGCGGTGAATTTGTAAATTTGTCACTGGAGCCGTTCCTTGGACGCTGCGCTTTTGTACTTGATATTCATTGGGGGCAGGCTATCCTCACTGACAAGGAATCTTGTAGTTGCGCCGCGCGTCTCACCAGCGATTTGCAAAGAACACACAGCACGCTGTGAACCCATCTGAACCCCTTGCAAGCCCACAGAGCTCTTGGGGGCATGGCATAGGACGCTGACGAACGAGACGGGGAAGCCGAAGCCAAAGAAGTAGAGCCAATGGCGCTGGCCGCAGGGTCGCGCAGCGCTTCAGCTTTGCAGTTGCTACTCGTTACTAGTGTCCCTGAACCCGAAACCCTGGAACCCCAAGCTCCTAGCTGCACGCACCTAAGCCCAAACCCACCCGAACCCGACCACAAGGACAATTACTAAGCGAACTAAGCTGACAGAATTCCCAACCACCACACGCGCAGGGAACAGGCATCCGAATGTCAGGGAAGCCCTTGTGCTCGGTGCGTCTTTAGAATTGTCCGGCGTTCGTGGAAACGCGCCCAACAGACAAAGTCCCACCCACAAGCGTCTCAACGCCAATGTGCTGAATCTTGCCCCCGCCCCCCCCCCCCCCTCCCACTCCCCCTCCCTTACGCTACCCTCAATCCCTCAACCCTCTGACGTTTTGCGGGATTGCCTCGAAGTAATCCACTCGGGCGTTCGCTGTCCACCGCTGATGAACCCACCTGTACCTTCTTGCCACGGAGAATCTGGGGGCATTCGAGAAGGTGATTGAGGCAGGTTCTGACAGATTCGACAAAAAAGTCTGGAGCTCGCTCGCAACGAATGAAGTCCCATGACCAGATTAATTTCAAGGCAATTCAGGGATGTACTCACCTGGAAGCCCTTGCACGTGGCTCAATAAAGATACCCTCTGAAGGGCTCTGGCTGCCAAGCAGCAGAAGGCCGCATCTACAACCCTCTCATCACCGCAAAACCACCCTTGAAGATCCCTCTATCGGACTCCTACCCGAAATCCACCGAACCACCCCTAAGAAGAACCCTAGGAGTCATGACTCTCATGCGTCAAGGCCCAGGCTCGAAGCAGTAGATGGAGGCCATCCAGCACGAGTGCACGAAGTACAGCGCGGGGCCCACCAAGGGCAGGTAGTAGAGCTGCGGTTGGGGTTTCGGTTTTTTTGTCGATGGTTTTCAGGGCCCAAGGTTTCAGAGTGGTGGAACATAAGCCGTTCCGCTTCTCAAGACTCAGGGTGGAATTTCTGGTGATGCAGTGTCAAGTTGGGGGCTGGAGGGTATGATATGTTGTGATCGTGATTTGGGCTGAGATGGTACTGTGCGGCAGCCCAAAGCCCAGGGCCCCAGACCCAAGCGCAGTCGCCATAAGCCCCAAGCCCCTAACCGTGACCCCTAAAGCCGAAACTCCAAACCCTGACAGCTTTCTTGTATACCGTGACGGCATGTGAGACTGAACTCCTTGCTTCTAGGGGCTTCAATCTGTTGGCTTGGGGAGAGAACTTCAGGTCCATAGTCCGTAGCTCGGCCAGGAATTCACGGAAGACATGTGTTCAGGGTTGGAGAGGGGGGGGGACTATGTTCTTGCTTGTGAAGGGGGGGAGCGGGGCTGAGGCAAAAACAGGCAACGGGGGTTTCGATGTTGTGCCGGCCTCCTTTTGACACTGTCTCGATCCGCTGCCGACGAAACCAGTTAACCCTGCCACTGCAAGATTGAAACGAAAAAACGCACGGATGACTACCTCGAGCCACCTCACGCCCCGTTGACCTTCAAAAGCGTTAACCATCCTCCTGGCATGCTGCCCAGCAGCACGCCAAAATGTTTGTATGAGCGCGAGGCCACAAAGGCCAGCGCTTGACCAAGCTTGCTACGAAAAAAGTGATCGCCGGGGACTTGCATTGAGCAAGGGCTCGAATCATTATCAAACTTGTGCTCGCGTGTGAGTACTTAGTGAACGCCCTACTCATTGCCCTACAACTTCCCGGCTCACTGGCACACAGCTGCAAAACACGCCAGTGGCTTTCGAGAACTGTCACTTGTAATTCTACTTGCATCCAGCCGTGCCAGCATTATGATACAGAAGAGTTAAGTGACCTCTTCCTTGCACACATGGGACGCCGTCAGGCCGCCAGGACGGTGTGGACCCGAGCTCCCACACTAACCCACGGGTGTCGGCTGCTTTTGTGGCATATGGGATGTGAAACCGGGAGTTCTCTCAAAGGGAACTGATCTTCTTGGCCCTGAATTGTCCCTACGCGTCTACCGTACTTAATCGTGTACTCCTCGCCATACAACTTCCCTTTGAGTGACCATGAGCCCACTGCTATGGTACAGCCTGGAGTGATATTCACCTACCCACCGCCAGAATCGGTGGAGGACGCCCGGCACCGGACCTGCGAGTGGAGGCCCCTGAACCTCGAGCCGCACTAAGCACCCCAACATCCAAAGTTCATGCCAGAAGCTCTGACCGAGTTGGCTTGAACCCCAGCCCTCTCATGCTGTAGCTGAGCACATGTAGGCACATGATCCAGGGCATCTATGCCTGGAAAGGTACATGCAGAGTCCATGGGTGGTCTGTTGATTCTTTGACACATCCACCTCAGCGTAAGAAAGCTCGCCTGCGTGCGTTGCGAAGCCCGCAACTCCATGCCGCCAAACCACCCGAAGCCGATCAGCAACTCAGCTCTAGGACTCTAGGGCTCTAGGGGCAGCACGCTTCCCAGGCGGGGGCGGTGGATCGGCCATCCTGCACCGAGGGTTGCATTCGCGGGCCCCAGAAATGGGAGCTCCAACTTCGAGCACGGCAGCCCTCTTGGTGACATTGGGCTGCGTATGCTACAAAGGGTGAGCAGCATACATGGCATGTCCAACAAGAAAACTTCAGAAACAATGGCCCCGCCGGACTCCAGAACTTCGAAGCGAGAAACCTCTAAGGCTCATCCAAAGCTTTGAAAAAGGCACCAGGCACCCCTGAACTAACAGTCCTCAAATGGGATTCTAATCGGGGATACCACAACCCCTAATTATTAACGACTGCTTAGTTTAATGGGGAACATCCCAACCCTGAACCCTTAACATCCCTAAGCCCCAAGGGTCCCCAGCTGTCAGCGCGGGTGCCTCCCGTTGGACGGCGCTCTCAGGAACTGTGGTGGCAGGTGGGAGGGCTCCTCCAGTTCAGCTCGGGATGTCTTTTGCACAAGGTTTGGTGGATTGATTGTGGATTGTCTTCAGGGGGTCAGGGTTGAATTGAGGTGTGGATTGTGTGAGTTTAGGGGCTTTGGGGAACTTTGGCCCCATCTCCGAACACCCTGGCTCTCCCCTGCCTTTTCTTGAATCAGAGAACCTTTTCGCACATGTACATATATATATATAAATATACTTATTATTTATTTATTTGTGGGAGCTGCGGTTGCTCCCATATTCTTTCTCTCTGCCCGTCCAATTATGACATTCTTGACCTGCGAGATTCTAGGGCGCACAAAGTCGATCAAACCTCTGCAGCTCTTCGCACTGACTCGCCAGAATCGTCGCACCAACGCGCTTGTTGACTGGGAGCTCCCGGGGGCCAAGTCAAGTTTCCCACCTGTTGGATCTGGTGTGGGTTCCTCTCATGCTGCATTCTGGGCAGTGAGGGCAGCCCACTGCTCAAGAGGATTGGCGCTGCATTGTGTCTGTGCTGCGGGGCATCATGTATTGAAAAGAGGCATTGGGCTTACGTCACTGAATGACGTTCAGAGGCAGATTCCGCGGCTTTCAAGGCGAGGTGACACGGTTGCTGAGCTGCTGGACCTTGCAATGCCATGCCGGGTGGTGCATGATTTCAGTGACACTGCCGTTTCGAGGTCCGCACATGTCACCTTTATAACTTGGTAGCATCGGAGAAGGTCCAAGAGACCATGGAGCCACTGTTCTGGGATGGGTGTCGCACTAGTTTCGCCAAAGCCCAGTCATTTCCAGCATGTAGCTCGAGCTGTGTGCGCAGTTCGCCTGCCTCGAACGGAGCTCTTCTCAATTGCTGCCTTTTTCCGCGCAACTAGTGAAGAGTCCCTCGTGCAAGACAGTCTTGTTCTTCCATCACATCTACATAGACTACCAGGATGGGCTATGAGGCCCTATAATCCCCAGAATCAACCCTATAAAGGGCCTTTTAAAGGGGTTACAGGGTATAATAACACGTCCTGGTATGGTTCTCAATTGGTTCTGCTGGGTGTCACTGCAAATGCCCTTGCATCCCACCAAGAGAAGTTCAGCTGCAACCAGCATGCTGTGGCCACTAATCCCAAACTCGACATGCACCTGACATGCCTGTGGGTAGCACCACTCAGTTCTTGTTGTAAGCGTATGGCAAACCATAGAAAGAAAGAGAGAGGGAGAGAGAGCAAAAGTACGAATTCACTGATTCCCCTGGAAATGCCCCCGATCAGCACTTTCCACCTGCACCAGCTCCACCTCGAGGGGCCACCTTTGCTCTTGAGACGCGCCCCCAGATTTCCACAGATATTGCTTCACATGCCTTTGGGATCCTCAAGGCTTGATTTTCTTCGGAACACGCGGTGTTTGGGACCTAGAGCAGGACGTGCAGGGTCTTAGAGCTTGAGGATAATCTTGGGGCGGTGGCTGGGCTTTGCGGGTGAGTCATTGCTGACGGATGCCGAATGGCCAAGAACCCTGAACGGTTGTTGACTCCGAGCGCTTGCACCCAAAATCAGGAGGCGCGCTGCAAGTGCCGAGACAGCATGTCATGAGTCGGGCCCACAGCTTGAGGCTATGGCGGCTATGACATAACATCTACAACCGCTTGCCCGTCAGTATATTCACGTGTATTCTCCGCTGCCGAATCTGCATGAATCAGCCTATAGGGCCAATCTCTACTCAAGCTGATGGGGCTAACCCCCTATGGGGCAGGGGTTTGTCGGACTTTCCCGAGGCCGCACAGATTCCAGGACTGGAGTTGAGGTGCGGGCCACGCGGGCCATAATCTCATAATCCGCGTCGAGTTCGGGCCTTGGCTTAGCTCTCAGTCCCAGCAATGTGTGGGGAGCTTCAAGGACCATACTGGGCCCTTTGCAACCCTGCATGCATGAAGACACATCCTCACACACACAGCCACCCTAAAAGCAACCTGCTCCTTGTGCCCTCAGCACCCGGCCGAAAGGCCACGACCTCAGATCTGCCAGGTTGGGCCTCCCCGAGGAGCTGCCACAGCTGCGGCGCCTCGGCAGGGAACTGAGGCACTGAGAATTTCGGAGTCGGAGCGGTAGCCAACAAAAGAGCACGTCGCGAGCAGCTGAGTGCGTGTCGTCCTCACCCTGCTTCACAGCAAGTAGGCTGCACCTAGGTGTCGGTCAGTGCAGGATTCGAGGATTTTCATGCAAGGCCTGTGGTGTGGGCGGTGCGAGGCTCTGGGATGCTCGTGAAGGGGGTTGGAGGCGGGAAAAAGCTTCGCAACCAGCCGTTTCCCCTGTATTTCATAAACCTCTCCCAAGAACCCTTGAGTGGCTCAAGTATACCCAAATGGCCCACTGAGGGCTCCTTCCTCTCCCAAGAACCCTCGAGCTCAACGAACCAATACTGCAGAAACCCTACACTCAGAGCTTATAAGGCCTCGGTTTTGAAGTTTCGGGTTTAGGGCTTAGTTCGGCCCCGAACGCATGCTGACTCCTAAAGCCATCGACAACGCCCCCTCGGACAGTCACTGGGTCCAGCACTGGCACTTTTCAAAGAACTCCACACGCCTCTTGTGGGCCTCCATGCTTTTGCAGGACCCTTTGAAGCCCATCAGCTTAAACCCATCAGCCCTCTCCTGTGAGTTTTTTTGGGTCTTGGTATGAACCCTGAACCCTGAACCCTGAACCCTGAACAGTAAACCCTAAACCCTAAACCCTAAACCCTAAACCCTAAACCCTAAACCCTAAACCCTAAACCCTAAACCGTAAGGCTCCGGGTAAAAGGGCTCCACGCGAGTAGATTGAAGCTTTACGCGCCCAAAGTCCACTGGACTTTCTGGCCTCCACTGTCTGCTTCACAAGCTCAGGATCGGGGACCTGCGGTCGGGGGAGTTTGGGGGTGCCAGGGGCTTTCGGACGTTTGGGAGTCTTCGTTTCTTGTGCAGCCCTCAGTCAGGGCTTCACAAGCAGAAGTT